TAAAACATTTAAATATTTTTAATAAATTAACCTGTAAGTAAAGAAGTAATTATATATAGACAATTTTGACATTGACATCTTGGTTTTTATTTTTTATTTTTGTTAAAAAAAAGTACCCTATTTTCTAGTTTGAATTACATAAATTAAATCATTAGGTAAAAGCAAACTTAGTGACATTAGGGATTAACCTCCTTGTCTAATTATTCATGTTTTTAGTTCAATGCAGTGATAATTGGAAAATAAGATATTTAGTGAAGAATATCCTTGTCAGTATGTACCAGCTAGGGTGACGAGATCATGATCATCAAGGTGTTTGGCTGCGAACTTCTGCCTTTGGACAATGATGGAATCAAGAGGAGAAGGTAACCTTGAGGTTTGAGATGATGAAGATATTCGGCCATCTCTTTTACTGGTTGTACCGTCTAGCTTGGACCATCAGTCTAGAGAAATGGAAAAGCAAGACATAATAAATAGTGAACAAAACTTTCAATCTTTGAACTCTTGCCTTTAATTAAACTTTTTGATCAGTTGAAATTTTGAGATAGATGGGAAGGACATATTAGAGAGTATCACGGAGTAGAATGAGGAAATTAATCTCTGCACTATCATTGCAAAGTTATTATAGTCTGTATATATATTTTTCCCTTGTATAGTAGCATCTTTCTAGGCTTCATTATTGGTGCCAGTTTGTATATGTGATTAGCATCCACAGTAATAAAATCCAATGCAGTTAGCAAATTCGCTGCTCCATACTCTGTTTTCTCATGGTATCAGAGCAAAGGAGTCTAAATTGACAGCAAGGTTTTGCTACAACAGCAAGTTAGAACAACAAGTTTTTGCTGCCCTGAGGAATCAATGATGACAGACAACGATCAAGCCAAGAAAGGATATAGGGGAGCAAGGGGAGACAAGGCTGTCCTCAAGACAGTAAATCTGGACTCACCTTATTATCTTCATCCCAGTGATGATCTTGGAAGGGTTCTAGTCACATCTCCTTTAACAGGAGAAAACTTCCATACATGGAGGAGAGCGATGCAGAATGCTCTACATGCAAAGAACAAAATGGGGTTCGTTGATGGAACTCTTAAAAAGCCAAGTGCAACTTGTCCAGAGTTTCTGGCTTGGACAAAGTGTAACTCCATGGTAATGTCATGGATATTGAATGCTCTCTCCAGGGAATTACATGACAATATGGCTTATGCTGAGAGTGCAGCAGAGGTCTAGGAAGATTTGAAGGAACGTTTCTCACAAGGAAACACATCCTGAATATATGAACTGAAGTTCGAGCTCGCAACCACCACTCAAGAAACAAGATTTGTAGCAGCTTATTTCACAAAATTGAAACCTATTTGGGATGAGTTCCAGGCTCATGAACCTGTGCCAACATCTAGTTATGGCTGCACTTGTGGTGCAAAAAAGGAGTTTACAAGGACACGAGAGACTGAGAAGGTTCATCAATTTCTCATGGGCTTGAATGAGAATTTTTCTACCATACACTCACAGATCTTGAACATGGAACCATTACCATCTCTCAACAAGGTTTACTCAATGGCCACAAAAGAAGAAAAACAGCAAATGGTGTCTGCATCTAGAAGTCCAGCTATAGAGGCAATGGCTTTAGCAGAAAAGACAAGTTATAACGAAAAGGTGAGCACATCAGGGAAACCACGCTGTGATAACTGCAAAAGCATAGGCCACACAAAGGAAAGATGCTATGAAATAATAAGCTATCCAGTGAGTTGGAAACCAAGACAAACAAAGATGAGGGGGTAAGGGGGAGCAGCAAAAACATCATAACACAGATAAGGATGTGATTTTTGCAGCAAATGCATCACTTGAGCCACAAATGACTAGAGGTCAATTGAATTAATTGCCAATTACAAGATTTACCAAGGCGTAGTATGATCAACTCCTCATGCTTCTTGGTGGTAATTCTGATTCTAAACAATCTATCAACCTTGTTGCTAAGACCTCACATTCTTTTCTTTCTTGGATAATTGACAGTGGTGCATCTAATCACATGACACCACATTTTTCCATACTCCAGGACATAAGGCCTTACTCATCACCTGTTTACATGCCTAATGGATCCACCTTAGATGCATCTCATTTAGGGAAAGCCACTCTGTCAAATAAACTTACTCTAGAAAATGTTAAGTGTGTCCCTCAATTTACATGCAATCTTCTTTTTGTCAGTCAGATAACAAAGCAACTTAATTGTGCTAGAATTTTCTTCCCTAATTTTTGTGTCTTCCAAGACCTAACCTCGAGGAGGTTGATTGAAATGGGTAAGCTTCGTGATGGGCTTAACTATTGTGATTTTGGGCATGTAGCAGCCATTAGTCATACCAAGAAGGAGGACATATCCTTGGAGTTATGGCATCAATGGCTTAGGCATGCACCTACAGAACGACTAGCTAAAATATCTTCTTTACCTTTATGTTCAAATCAAATAAAACATGTTCGTGATGCTTGTCATCGAGCTAAGCAAACAAGATTACCTTTTCCTATTAGCAATAATAAATTTGCTAATCCTTTTGCCTTAATTCATTGTGATATATGGGGTAGATATGCCATTCCATCTAATACTAGTGCACATTATTTTTTGACCATTGTGGATGATTTTTCACACTGCAAATGGGTGTATCTTTTAAAGCACAAATTTGAAACTGCATTATATTTGATAAATTGTTGTCATATGGTGGAAAACCAATTTCACACTCATGTGCAACAGATTCGAAGTGACAATGGCAAAGAATTCACTAAACGGCAAGTGAAGGAATTTTTCTTTAAGAAGGGAATTATACAACAAACTACATGCACATATACACCTCAACAAAATGGGGTTGTCGAACGAAAGCATCGTCACCTTCTTGAGGTAGCATGAGCTTTAAGATTTCAAGCCAATTTACCATTAAGATTTTGGGGTGAATGTATCCTCACTGCAGCTTACTTAATCAATTTAACTTCTACACTTATGCTTTCAAATTTCACACCATTTGAAAAACTTTTTCAAAAGGCTCCTAATTATTCACATTTAAGACTGTTTGGGTGCCTTTGTTACGCACACAATCACTCTAAAGATCGTGGAAAATTTGATTCTTGAGCAACAAAATGTGTTTTCATTGGCTATCCTTTTGGAGAAAAGGGATATAGACTTTTTGATTTGGAAAGCAATCAAATCTTTATTTCACGAGATGTGGTTTTTTATGAGCAAAATTTTCCATATGCATCCATTCATAATGTTGGAGATCACATGGCATCATCTACTCCTAATATCTGGCAACCAAGCATAGAAACTCATGATACAATTCCCTCATATGACAATGAGGTTGATCCCGTTGAAAACACTATCACTGATTGGGAAACCAATCCAACTACTGATCTTGCTGCTTCAGTCTAACGGCCACAACGAGAGAGACGTGCTCCTCAGCATCTTGATGACTATGTCTGCACCATGCCCACATCCCTTTAGCCCACAAAAGCTCCATTACAGTCAACCAACTCAAGTACGTCATACCCTCTGTCTAACTGTGTCTCATATAATTATTTTTCACTCCCTCATCAGACCTATCTTGCAGCCATATCTTCTATAGATGAGCCTAAAACATTTTCTCAAGCCATCAAACATGAAAAATAGCGAGAAGCAATGAGGAATGAGATCACTACACTTGAGAAGAATGGTACTTGGACAATTGAGACATTGCCTCTAGGCAAACGTGCAATTGATTCTAAGTGGGTATATAAGGTTAAATTCAAACCGGATGGGACAGTTGAACAGTATAAAGCTAGGTTGGTAGCTAAAGGCTTCACATAAATTGAAAGACTAGACTTCCATGAGACCTTTGCTCTTGTCGCAAAGATGGTAATAGTGAGAGTGTTGCTTGCTCTTGCTTCCATTAAATAATGGGAATTGCACCAATTAGATGTGAATAATGCCTTCTTACAAGGTGAATTACATGAAGAAGTATATATGAAGATACCACAAGGTTTCGGTTGCAAACAAAACAATAAAGTTTGCAGATTGCGCAAGTCTCTAAATGGTTTGCGGTAGGCCTTAAGAAATTGGTTTGAAAAGTTCACAAATTCTTTTTTGGCAGCTGGTTTTTGTCAATCAAAAGTAGATTACTCTTTATTCACCTCTACTACTGATAATAAGTTTGTTGCAATTTTGATCTATGTAGATGACATAGTGATTACAAGCAATGATGGTGAGAAACTTGCAGCTCTTAAGGCTTATCTACACAAAGAGTTTTCCATAAAGGATTTAGGCCTTTTGAAGTACTTCCTTGGTGTTGAGGTCGCTCGAACTACTGAAGGCATCATTTTAAGTCAGCAAAAATATGCTCTTAATATCCTTACAGAGGCAGGATTGCTTGGAGTGAAACCCAGCCACTTTCTCTTGGACCAGAATCATCGACTCGCATTGGCTTCTGGACCTTTAGCATCTGATCCTTCACAGTAAAAGAGATTGGTTGGGAGACTACTTTATTTAACAATCACTCGACCATATATTTGTTATTCTGTGAGTATTTTGGCTCAATTCATGCAAAATCCCAAGCAAAAACATTTTGAGGCAGCCATGAAGGTCCTGCGTTACATCAAGAGATCACCGGGGCAGGGGATTTTATTATCTTCTCCAAGCAAGTTGCAGTTGGTAGCATATTGTGATGTTGATTGGGCAGGTTGCCCTTGAACACGCCGCTCAACCAATAGGTACTATATTTGCCTTGGGGGCTTTCCAGTCTCTTGGAAGTCAAAGAAGCAGTCGACAGTTTCACGCTCCTCTGCTGAAGCAGAGTATAGGGCTATGGCTTCCACAGTAAGTGAGCTTACTTGGTTGAAATCTCTGCTTTTCAATCTCAGTATAAACCATTCAAGACCAATGACTTTCTTTTGTGACAATCAAGCTGCCTTACACATTGCAAACAATCCTGTATTCCATGAACGAACTCAACACATTGAAATAGATTGTCATGTTGTTCGAGAGCATATTTAGAAGAAGGAATTGATCACAGCTCATGTATCCTCTCGTCATCAACCAACGGACCTTTTCACAAAAGCTTTGGGTCGTGAGCGCCTTGCTTTTTTGCTATCCAAGTTGGGCATTCAAGATCTTCATGCACCAACTTGAGGGGGAGTATTGGAAAGTATCACGAAGTAGAATGAGGAAATCAATCTCTGCACTATCATTGCAGAGTTATTACAGTATGTATATATATTTTTTCCTTGTACAGTAGCATCTTTCTAGGCTTCATTATTGGTGCCAGTTTGTATATATGATTAGCATCCACAGTAATAAAATCCAATGCAATTAGCACAATTCACTACTCCATACTTTGTTTTCTCAAGACATACTAAATCAACAGCGTCTCGAGCTGCTAATGCTAGTATATCAGCACGTGAGACTACACCTGGACACAAAGTTTCAATTTGTGACTTCGCATCATCAATTACTTCAATTCCTCTCAATCCAAGATTTGGCAATGCATTTCTCTCTGTAGAAGAGCCAATGATCAACACCGGCCCATCACAGCCCTGTCTTACATAGCCCTTAATTAATTCAACACTCCATGGGCTACATATATGTGCAGATTAAGCTAATTAAATTAAGGGAAAACAAAAGAAGAGAGGAAGACAACCTAAACAAAGCAGTCATGAAAATGAAGCCTCAACAGACCGGTTGCTATAGTTGGATCTTTGCTGAAGTATGATTCAACTGTAGACCTGATGATGGACTTTGCCTAGGGACATGAACAAGAGTAAAACCCATTCTTCAAGTTTTCTCCTTGGCTTTGTACCAACAAAACCATCATCATGAAGTTCGCTACAACAGAAACCAACCATTTAGCCTCCATATTTTCAGACCTATCTCTTACTATACTCCAAAATTTGTATTGCTACTTAATATTTATACATACACAAATTTGCTTAAGCTGCCTTTTCTGGTTTTCTCTTGATTGTCGAATCCAGCAGTGGAAGCATGGGACCATTGAAAATGGTCTCATATTTTGAAATTTGAATGTGTACAAAAAGTTGGATGTGGAGATTCACTGTGCATGTTGCTTATAAAGTGGTGAGGACCGATCCATCTCTATCCTTTCCCTCCTTAGATTTATGCCTGACGTGTTTTTCTTCTTGTTTGTTTTTAAGCATTTCATTTCATTGCACTTACATTTACTTTATTTTGGGCCTTTGGGATGGCTCAACTTCATTTGATTAGCATGAAAATAAATTAAGTGTTTGTTTTGGTGTATATATAGTCAAATTCCAATATTGATTTAGCAAGTTTCACATGTCTTTATTTAGTGAGTGGAATGATACCGTGATGTATAAGACAATTTGAGAACCTTTCTTTGTGCCAAATTACAATTCTTAGTGTTGTGGCCTTTACCCATTGCCTTACATTGTTTATAGATTTTGAGGCTCAAAATCACAAGTATCCCACTTTACATTATTGAATATGAATTGAGATTTTTCTTCTTCTTCTTCTTTTTCTTCTTCTTTTTAAATGAGATAGGCCAAGTAGTTGAAATTTTTACGGAGAAGAGTGGTGAAGAGAGTGTAATGTTTCAAATTTCATATCAAGATAAAACTATAAGTGCAATTGATATATAATTGTGGAGACTAAAAATTATTAATAACTTAAGTTTTTAAAGGTTTGTGGTTATTAACTTGAAAAATTATTAGATTAGAAGTGGACTTCAATTTGAATCATTTCAATCTTTTAAAAAAAGATTCAAACTGATGTGACGTTATTGTTTGGTATTATTATTATTGTTATTATTATTATTATTATTATTGAAAATAAGCAAAGTATGTAATTGTGTGGTTGCTTGTTTTTATTTTGGCTCTAAAAAATTTAGAAACTACTAACAATTAAAAAAAAAAAACAAAAAAAATAATTATATTGTCAAAACAAAACTAGAAACAATAGAAATGGTCTAATTTATTAGATTTTTAATGAAAAATATGACCAATAGAATCATATCGGCCTACATTGTAACTGGGTCACAACCCAATCTATGTTTCATAGCAACAACGCAAATAAATATAAAAGATATATATTACGGACCTATCCACTTAGATTAGGAACATAGATAAGCTCTCCGGAGAGCTATCCACGATGAGCCAAAACCAAGATATAGGCTTTAATGGTTAAATGTTAAATTTAGGTTTAAAACTTTTAATTTTGAATCATTTAGTTTTAAAATTATTTTTTTATATTTTTTTTATGTCTCAATTATGAAAAACACATGTCTAATTCTTCTGGTACCTTCTGTCAAGCACTGAAAGGCAATGAGGGAAGCAAGAAAGTAAAGGGAAGGAGAAGCAGCTGCTGCCGCCGCTGGATCCAATTGATCGCCCTAAAGGCCCCTAATTAATTAAAGCATGATCGTCGAATCAAAACTCCTGCAATAATTTTAATTATTTGTGGTTAATTTTCTTATTATTTTGTTTCAATGATGATCCTGAGATTGATTTAATTATAATACTCTCCCCCTCGATGTTATGTTTTTTTTTTTTTTTTTGAGGGGGGGTGGTGGTGTAAAATCACTCTTTATGTTATGCTTGGAAGATTTCTCTCTCTCTCTCTCTCTCTCTCTCTCTCTCTAATTGTTACGCCCAAAAGTTTCTTTTGTGATGATGATGCCATTAGATACATCAAAAAGCAGCTGTTATGTATTGTGGATGAAATAGTTGTATTATATACCAGAGCATATATTCTATAAAACTTAATTAATTTTAAAAAAGCGTATATATATAGCAGTTTTATACGAGGATTCTTCTTAATGTGTATTTCCAATTCGATAATGATTCTGAATGTGATCCAATATAATTTTTGTTAATAGGAAAGAAGAGGATTTTATTAAAGGTGTATAAGAGGTAATAGACAATTTTTCTTGATGTTATTTATTATAATTTTTTTTAATAGGAAAGAAAAGAGATTTTAGTAAAGATGTTAAGGGAGGGTGAGGATATTACTGCATCCTAAATTGTTAATATCATATTTTTTTAATGTAATTATTTATCATATTTTTATATTACACTTTAAAAAAAAATTTACATTTTTTTTTTGTTTCTTAATCAATTAAAAAATATAATAATCAATTAAAATTAAAAAAAATGATGTTAACAATTAAGAATGTAACAATGATATCACCTATAATACCCTTATAAGAGTAATAGACAACTTATCTGGATGTGGTTCATTATATATTTTTCTTTTTGGTTAAATCCCTATTTTGGTCCCTGAACTATTGTACGGACCACTGATTTGGTCCTTAAACTATTGTACGGATCCCTTAGTTGGTCCCTAAACTATTGTACGGACCCCCGAATTAGTCCCTAAACTATTATACGGATCCTCAATTTGGTCCCTACTGTTTATCAATTTAGCCCCAACTTGGTCCTTCTGTTAAATAATAGCTTAGGGACCAAATTGGGGTGAAATTGTAAATAGTAAGGACCAAATTAAGGGTCCGTACAATAGTTTAAGGACCAAATTAGGTCAAATTATAAACAGTGTGGACCAAATCGGGGGTCCGTACAATAGTTGAGGGACCAAATCAAGGATTTCTTAAGTTCAAGGACCAAATCGAAGGTCCATACAATAGTTCAGGGACCAAAATGGAGATTTAACCTTTCTTTGTCAAAGGAAAGAAAAGGATTTTTAAAGATGCATATGGGTAATAGACAACTTATCTGCATTTGATTCATTATAATTTTTTTTAATAGGAAGAAAAGGATTTTATTAAAGATGTATTGGGGTAATAGACATTTTTTCTGGACAGGGTTCATTACATGTATAGAGAATAATATCCATTTTTTTTACTTTTTAAAGATTAGGAAGAAAATTATCATAAAATTATGTCGTTTCAATAAACTCTTATTGAAAATACTAAAATATACAAAATTTAAAGCATAAATTAGAGTGTTTTTTATTTTTTCTTGTAATATTTTATTGAAATGACATAATTTTAAAATAATTTTTTTCTTAATCTTTAAAATGTATGATGGATAAGTACTAAATCCATATATATTTTTTAATAGGAAAGAAAAGGATTTTTTTAAAGATATATAAGGGGTAATAGACATCTTTTTGTAGTTTAACTTATTTTTTTAAAAGTATATTAAATGATAAATTATACAATTAAAAAAAGTCTCATTTTTTCTTGTCCCTTTTTACTTGCTTTATGGTTTGAACTCAAGATTTACAACTTAAAACCTCAAGTTTGTAATCATTTGGAACACCCTTTAAAATTAGTGTTACCGTCATGCTTAAAAGTATAAAACTATATAAAACATAATCAACAATTTTATTGATTATATTAATAGTAAATTAGTAAATATAGCTGGGTTATGTTTTTCGAGAAATGATTTTTGTATAACTTTTTTGTTTCATCTTTTTGTACAATTTAACGTGTCATTTAAATGATTGGTTCTTTTAATTCATGTGAGACCTGTGACATTGAATGCATCCACTAATTTAATGACATGTGAAAGTTATATAAAATAATAATATAAAAAAGTTGTTCTTATAGCACCACCCTTTTTTAAGCGATAGTTTTTCTTTCAATTAATTGTTGTGTGGATTATATCAACAAAAAATTAACATTTACATAACTTATAGTCATATTGTCAATTATAACTCTATATAACTGATAATTATTTTATCTATTGATTATATATTTATCAATTATATTATGTTTTTTTAGTAATAATTAAATTGTTTAATTTAAACCATTAAATAAAAATAAGTCATTTGATATTGAAATCTAACTAGTTCTTATTTTAAAGTCTAGACTATACAATAAAGAGCATAAATAGGGGACTTATAAAAAAATCATAATCAACTACTAACTTGTTAATTCAAATAGAATGAATATGATTCCTTAAATAAGGTTTCGATTTTGAATCTTATAAAAAAAAAACATTAAAAGAACTTCTCTATTATGAAATTTGACTTGATTTAATTTTAAATTTCTTGGAGTTTAATATAACTTTTAGATATCGAAAGATTAGTTAAAAAAATAAAACAATCATAATCGAATATCGTGAAAACAGCAAAAAAAAAAAGAAAAAAAAAAGAAAACAATAGTAGAAAAGATTTTGGTCAGAATAGTCCAGATGTTTATTTTTTTTGTCCTTTGGAGGGGGTGGGGGGTAAACAAGGAGATTGGATAGAACATAATAAATGGCCATAGATATATATATACACACATACATATATATACATATATATATATATACATATACATACAAGCTAGTTCCTGGAAAAATAATCCCATCATCTCAGCATTGAAGTACAAGAAATTGCCAGGAGGACAGGCCCCAAATAGTCTAGATGTTTTGTGGAAAAGATTTTTCTTTTATAGCACATTGTTTTTATGCCAAAATGTTTACTGCATTAATAATGATGCTATTATATATTTCATGACAAAGGAAAAACAAAAGCTTTTTAACATGTATTTTAGAGGTATATGATTTTTTTTATTAAGGGTATATATTAAAGATTTATTTATTGTATTTTTTATTATTAATTTAAATAAAAAATTTACAAAAATAAATTTTTTTAATAACAATATTATGTAAAATAATTTAATTAAATTATTAATAAAATTAAAATTAATTTTCATTTTTTTTATAAATTAACAATAAAAAATTAGTAGTAAAATAAATGTCCGTACCCGAACAGATTAAAAAATTCCAAAAGACGAAAGAGAAATTAAAAAAGCAGCCGAAATATGGTGCATTCTTGAGAGAATTCTACTGGATATGTATTACGATGAGGAAGGTTCATTCTAAAAAATGGATCTTTCTCCCCCTAATTCCTCTGAGCCCCCGCCGGCAAACCCCAACCTTCCCCCACCGACGCCGCCGCCTCCAGACATATCCGTAGTCATTCTTGTCTCCTCCGGGTCAAATCAGGCTGGCTTGTTACCACCGATCAGTCATTCAAGTTCCCCCGCGGATCCGCCTGTTAAATCCTTTAACGACACGCTTATGGATGGCAGTGCTTCCACTGAGCCCCCGCTTGTCACTTATGAGGAACTAGCACTACTAAAATTTCTAACTTCGGCTACATGCTTCCATGTTGTTGAAAGGGCCTCCCATATATTGCTGAAAGTCCTTCAGCAACATGATTTTTGTTGGTAAAAGCTTTGCGGGCTGATACATCACCAACAAGTAAATTGTGGCTAATACATCAGCAACATAATGTATATTACTGAAAATATAGTTTAAATAATGTACTCCATGTTGAAAAAATTGTTCACCAAAATTTGGTAAAATTCACCGATAAGTGGTAAAGAATTTTCAACAGTTTAAGTCACATTGCTAAAAATGCTTATGTTGTTGAAAATAAGTGGTAAACTGGCAATACAAGGATTAGGATGAATTAACCCAATTTTCAGCAATATAGGCCATCTTGCTGAAAGCATATTTTCAACAACATGGCTTATATTGTTAAAAGTTAAGGGGAGTGCATATCTCCAACTTTCCTGCAACAAAAACTATGTTGCTAATAGTGTATTATCAACAACATAGTTCTTATTGCTAAAAATTTAGGTGAATAGTCAACAAACTTATTTTCAGTAACATAATCCTTGTTGTTGATAGTGAGGTGAATAATATATTAATTTTATAGTATTATTATTACATTATTTAAATCTGAAATTCACTTTCTTTATAATCACCAAATATTAAATTTTTTGATATCTCACATAAAATATAAATATTTATTAATTCTATATTATTAAATTTAAATTAAATAACTTAAGTTAATTAAGTTTAATTAAGTATCTTACCAAATTTAAAATTTTTATTTTATTAAAAATTACCTACAAAACAAACAAAATAACAAAATTGTTAGTTATTATAGATAATTATTTATAAATATATTAACTTTCAAATAAATTGATACATACTTAATAAAATAATATTTATAAAAATATTTGAGAATTGATGAAATTTATTCAATTAGTGATATATATGAGAATTTACTGATAACAAAGAATAAGCATAATTAACATATTATATAATGGATAAAAATGGATGAACAATTATATGGAGGACGTATATGTGCTAAAAAAAAAAAAAAGAAGGATGGGAGATGGAAGGGAATGGGGGAATATATAGAATTTTCAGCAACTTTCAGCAACTAGACCATGTTGCTGAAAGTTTATCACCTTTT